ATCTTGCCATATAATCACGGCCGGGAAATGTCTACATACACGTGGAAATTAGCTAAAATAATCATTATAAAAGAATACAAAAAACACATAACTAAGAATATTTTGCATTAGAATTTTAAAAAACAGGGGTTTTATGCAAAACGTCAACAGACAATTGTGAATTTTAAAAAAAATCCGTTATTTTACTCAGAGTCTTGGCACGGAAATAAATGTATGGTTGATTCAACCGCCTACAATGTAATTAATTCATTCTATAAGTAGTAGTTTTATCTTCTAGAGTCCACATTATTTTATTAGTGAAAAGATAAGCATATTTACTATATATATATAAATGGATTAATTTTATATTTAAACTACACGTGTTCGGTAACAAATACACATGTTTTACTGCAATTAAAATCGTGTTATAAAACTATCGATCTAAATCATAGGTGCATATATGTACAGAAAAAAAATGTTTTTTATCATTTATTTATTTTTTTAATTTATTTATCTACTGTATATTTATATTAAAGCGCCTGAAATTAGAATTATAAAATAATTTCAATGCAAGGAAAAGATCAGAGGCATTCCGAATAAATCGTTCATTTTGCGTTCACCGTTCACTTTGCCCTCGCCTTTGCACTCTGTTCGCGTTCTGCGTTCACCGTTCACACATTGTTCACCAACTTGCGTTCAGCGTTCGCACATCGTTCACTCACCGTTCGCTCCGAGTTCGTTCACCGTTCAGCATTCGTTCACCGTTCAGGTGGGAAAGTAGAACGTTTCAGGGACTGTATGCCTGTCTTAAGACTGCATGTATTTTGTTATAGCTTTGTGTCCGTCTGTCTGTCCGTCTATCCATCCGTCTGTTAGCTTTTCTCATGTACAGCTCATAACTTTAATACTATTAGGCCTAGAATTATGAAACTTTGTCAGCTGATACATCTTGGGTAAAAATGTGTCATGCACAAAACGTAGGTCACCCTGACCATAGCTGCAGAACTGTAGCTCTCCGACAAAAAATATTTTGACAGACTGGAAAGCTATAGTGCCACCCATTGAAAAAACTGTACATTTATTGTGCACAAAAAGTTGCACTTGGTTATGGATTAATTCTTCCAAATTCTTACCTCAATTGCAAAAAATTTTGATTTCAGTAAATTCCTCACTCCTCTATCAAGTACTTTGTAGTTGACATCTACACGAAGCGCATAGGGCCGAATTATCTTGCAAACCAAAATGGCAGTTTGAATAGAAAATTTTTTCGATGTACTCGATTTCAGGGCCAGGAGGGCAATTAACAACAAGGAATGTTTTGTTGTTGAAACAATGAAAAAATATGTTAGGAGCACATGGTTAGTAACACTAAGATGATAGTTTTAAAAACATTGAGAAATAAATCGATAAACAGTCAGTTGTAGTTTTTTCCATGGGTGGCACTGTAGCTCATCGGTCTGTCAAAATATTTTTTCGGAGAGCTACAGTTCTGCAGTTAACCTGACCTATAATTAAGAAGTTATAGCCAAATATGGAAAACTCCTTTCCAGCCCACAACTAGAAAATATTAGACTTAGAGTCATCAAACTCGGCCAGTTTATGCATCTTAGGTAGAAGGTGTGTCGCATGACCTATTTCAAGGTCAATGTGACCTTTTATTTAAGTGAAATTTTTAAAAAATGTGTCTTTACTATTCATTTATACATTCCAAAAAAAATCCTGGGGAAGTGGAGGTTTTAAATTGTTCAAATCATGACCCCAGGGGATAGCGCAGGGCCACAATAGGGAAACCCATGTTTAACATAGGATTATATAGGAAAAATCTTGAAAATCTTCTTCTCAAGAACCAGAGGGTGAGAAAAGCTGAAACTTATGTAGAAGCATCCTTGGGTAGGGTAGATTCTAAATTATTCAAATCAGGACCCCCGGGGGTAGGGCGGGGCCACAATAGGGAACCCATGTTTTACATAGAATTATATAGGAAAAATATTTAAAATCTTCTCAAGAACCAGTGGGCCAGAAAGTCATGACCCCCCGGGGTAGGGCGGGGCCAGAATTGGGAACCCATGTTTTACATAGAATTATATAGGAAAAATATTTAAAAATCTTCTTCTCAAGAACCACTTGGTCAGTAAAGCTAAAATTTATGTGAAAGCATCCTTGGGTAGTGTAGATTCTAAATTGTTTAAATCAGGACTCCCAGGGGTAGGACAACAATAGGGAACTCAAGTTTATTATTTAAATATATAGGAATAATCTTTAAAAGTCTTCTTTTCAAGAACCAGTGGGCCAGAAAAGCTTAAATTTATGTGCTAGCATCCTCTGGTAGAGTAGATTCTAAATGTTCGAATCATGAACCCCTGGGTAGGGCTGGGCAACAAGTTTTACATCGAACTATATAGGAAAAATCTTCTCACTACTGGGCCAGAAAAGCTTAACTTTATGTGAAAGCATCATGGGGTAGGGTAGATTCTAAATTGTTCAAATCATGATACCTAGGGTAGGGCTGAGCCACAATAGGGAACCCAAGTTTTACATTGTAATAAGAGGGTTGTCCTGTAAAATCATGGACAAGTTGTCTAGTGATAAAAATAAATATCACTACGTTCTGAAATTTTCACTACTCCTTAGTACATATTTTATGAATACACATAGCAAATTTCAAAAAGATATATGTATAAATAAACTAATTATGAGAATTTATTAGGGATGTGCGATTTTATCGGTATACCGGTATATCACGATTTTTTGTTGCGTGATACGTATCGTGATACGGAAACCTAAATACCGGTATTTAGGTGCATATTAATAAAGTCCAGAAATTATTCATTTATTTGATCAATCTTTCAAATTACAGTAACAGAAAGTCTGCAAAATGTTGTAAAAGGTGAAAAGAATAGCCTATTAATATCCAAACATGATTAGTTTTATTTACATAAGAATTTCAAAAAAGTGAAGTTATGTTTTTTTTAGCATATTTTAAAGAAAAATAATGTCATTGACCATTTATTTGCAAAAATTGCTTGTAAAAATATCATGATATTATCGTGATATTTTGTGAAAAATCATGATATATCGTGATACGAAATTTTAAGCGATACCCATCGCTAGATTTTATGTTATGTATTGTATCGTCTTACGGTGCATGGATGATAACGTCAAAGTGTCTAAAACAGCGTCAGATTTTATCTGTGCTAAAAAGAAAGTTGGATAATTCCCTCTATAATTAAGGAACTTCATTGAGATACACATACTCAAGTCTCCATAAACAATTGAGGAATCAATATGGCACACACATGCGATCTCCTGAACATTTATTAGTAAGTTAGGGACAACATTTTCACCATCATTCAATTAAATAGACAATCTTTATTGACGGTCAACAGTGACTGCGTTTTTTGCCATTACCATAGCATTTTGTTGTATGTTTTGTACTATCCGGGGACTCGGTCAAAAAAGACTTCACTAAGAAAAAAACTATTTCATTTGTATACCAAAGATCTGGTGATTTTTAAATTCTTTTCTTCTTTTATATTCATTGAAAGTCTCTAATTGTGTCCTTACTACATCTTAATCGAACTGAAGTCTCCGGTGCACCGTAACGTCATCAGACATCTAAATGTTTCATGTGTTGTGTTAATCACTTTCTCATTTCGAATGCTCAGGAAACTGTCAAAAATTAACCAATTTCCTTGAATTTTTTTTAAAAGACGACAAAATGGATTATGGAATCAAATTAGCATAATTTGTACTCCAATCTTATCTATTTCAAACTTTTATTTTGAATCAATAATCATGAATTCTATACTAAAATCTTGGCTTTTTGACCATGCACCGTAGGACGTACCTTGCACACATTCAAGCTTAACAAAAACTTTCTTTTTGTCTATATTTTATAAAAAAAAAATATTATGCACTTAAATATGATAGATAAACATTTACTGAAAATTTTAGCTTATGCGCCAATTATTTTGAGAAAAACACTTTGTCCACCATTTTATCGGACAACCCTTGTATCTTTAAATCTTTAAAAGTTTTCTTTTTGGGAACTACTGGTCCAGAAAAAGTGAAACATACGCGAAAGCATCCTGGGTAGTGTAGATATTAAATTGTCCAAATTATGAACCCTTTGGGTAGAGTGGGGTCACAAAAGGTATTACAAGGGGGAAATTTGGTAAAGAACTGCATGGTCAAAGCTATTCAGGTGAGCAATGTGGCCCATGGGCCTCTTGTTGTTTTTAAAATTGTCCCCATAGTAAAGTCAAACTGTGAAATACTGGTACTGAAACTGCAATTTCAACTGAAAACTCACATTAACTTTATGCACCCAGTATTGTATTGTTTATATTTGATAATATTGATAAGATTTTTTAACTTGCTTGAAATCCATGATATGAGAAAAAAAAATTGTAATTTTTTTCCTATACATTTTTTAAAGGTGTGTTCAGTGTATGATGAATTACTAGAGCTCCTGCAATATGAAACTGGCTTGAAGAAGCACCTGGATCGTTCAAGATGCTTCAGTATTGGATTCCCTATGAATGAAAATGAAAGACTAGGAACACTCTTGGAAGTTGAAAACTGCCTTGCCAATATTGCCAGGCAAGAGAGATGGAGAGAAACAATTCCCAAAGATTGGGCATACTGTGAAGTTGTCTTGAGGAGTAATAAGCAGAAAGGACAGAAACTTATTTCATTAAAAGATTTCAGAAAACAGGTTGCAATCAAAAAGACGGGAAAAGACAGGGATACGTGTGATGTGTTGCGATTATACAATGATTTTGGCATCATTCTGTATTTTAATGAAAACAATTTGAGAGAAGTTGTAGTAACAGATGTGCAATGGTTTGTAGACTGTTTTAAGTCTATCATTACAGATCCCATGCATGTTAGAGACTTAGTTCAAAATGACAAAGACTGGCAGTATTTCTATAATAGTGGCTATCTTTCCGATGGTCTTTTAAAAAGAATCTGGAAAAACCAGAAAATGGACATTAAAAAATGCTTTTCAGCATTGAAATACATGCAACGCCTGGGTTTGGTTGCGATTGGAAAAAAAATGCATTACATTGCATGTATGAATAAATTAGAATTCACACATGAACTGAAATCTCGCGTTTGGTCCTTGGAGGAGAAAACATCAGTGTTGGTGTTCAATTTTAAGTTCCTTCCAAATTTTTTTTATTTTCGTCTTGTTGTTGCATTGATTGTGGAGGAAGCTGAAGACAGCAAATGGACAGTGATTGAAGACAATGGACAGAAGTGTTTGTTTAAGAATGTAGCATGCTTCAAACATAAGGAACATATCATTATTCTTGCACTCCAAATATCATCCATTCAAGTGCAGATTTTTAGAATGGGGGAAAACTGTCTTGTTTCTCCAATTACACTTAACATTAGAAAGAAGGTTGAAGATGTTTTGAAGAAACTGACTAAAAACTTCCATAAGAAAACAATTTACACAGTTGGATTCCAATGTTCCACGAAGAACGTTCTTGAAGAATGTGTCACATCTTTCCTGCCTGAAGAAGCCATATGTGGGAAAGAAAAATTTTCATGTCCAAATCATGGACTGCAAAACTATCATGAGATAGATCCAGTTGACATTCTTTGTTACTGGAAACTTGGTAAGTTTTATTTTCCAACTGAATTTTTTGCCCTGGAAAAAGCATTACAGATTGATTGATTGAATACTGTTTAACGTCCCTCTCCAGAATATTTCACTGATATGGAGACGTCACCATTGCCGGTGAAGGGCTGCAAATTTAGGCCTATGCTCGGCACTTACGGCCTTTGAGCAGGGAGGGATCTTTATCGTGCCACACCTGCTGTGACATGGGGCCTTGGTTTATACGGTCTCATCCAAAGACCGCCCCATTTAGTCGCCTTTTACGACAAGCAAGGGGGTACTGAGGACCTATTCTAACCCGGATCCCCACGGGACAAAAGCATTACAGAAGAAAATACCAAACATGAAAATTAATATTTGTTTGGTTTTTAGCTCACCTGAGCCGAAGGCACATTCTAAATATCGATTTTAAAACACCAAAATCTCTTTCAATTGTTTTTCCTGTCTTTATCTGTGCAGAGTTGTACATGTCTTCTGATGCATTGGTAGGGTTTAAGACAGGTGTAAGGAGCCCTGGGCGAAGTGGGTAAGCACTCTCTCCAAGTAGCCAACCATCTGAAATTGTCCCATATTAAAACAAGTCTTTTAAAAAGGAATTATTCCTAATAAACGAATTGTGGGATATCCTGTCTATTTTGCAATAATGTTCATAGTTCCATACATTGCACCTAATTGTTTTTTGGGAATCCTGCTATCTCATAAAAAGCACGTTATGTGTCATTGAGTTCGCCCTGATCTGTAGGCAATATATATAGTAATTATGCCGTTTAATTTGTCAGTCAGTCAGTTTGTCTTTTTTTGTCAGCGCAACTCCTCATAAACCGCTGCACAGCAGCAAAACTTTGCAGGTATTTAGGACACGTGTAATGTGCAAATGCTCGAATTGTTGGCATATTAGAGGTCTAGGTACTTTTACCTGTTAATAATAGCTTCATCCATCTCGTAATCAAGCGATTTCCATTATTTTTTCCGATAACAAAAGGGCAACACTTTTGTCTATATTCAGACAAGGATCTTGACATTAGGGTCCTGAGTTTTTAACTTAGAGATATCTTGGCCATACCTTAATATAGAGATGAACAGTTTGTCAGCGCAACTCCTCATAAAAAATGCACGCACTTTGAAAAATTTTTTCAAAGTGCAAACTTTGCAGGTATTTAGGACACAATGTGTAGTCCTTTTTTGTGCATATTCCCACAGGACTTTGCAATTCCGATTCCATTATTCCTTTTTCCGGGAATTTCCGCACTTTTTAACTTAGGCATTTGGCCATACCTTGAATATAGAGATGAACAGTTTGTCAGCGCAACTCCTCATAAACCGCTGCACAGAATTTCGTTAAACTTTGCAGATATTTAGGACACATGTAGATGTGCATATTACCAGGAAATTCCGATTCCATTAATTTTTCCGGGACTTCCCGCACTTTTTAACTTAGGCATTTGGCCATACCTTTTATACAGAGATGAACAGTTTGTCAGCGCAACTCTTCATAAACCGCTGCACAGAATTTCGTCAAACTTTGCAGATATTTAGGACACAATATGTAGATGTGCATATTCCCCGGAAATTTGGATTCTATTTTTTTCCGGGACTTTCCGCACTAAATACTTAGGTTTTTGGCCATACCTTGAATATAGAGATGAACAGTTTGTCAGCGCAACTCCTCATAAACTGCTGCACAGAATTTCGTTAAACTTTGCAGATATTTAGGACACAATATGTAGATGTGCACATTACCAGGATATTCCGATTCCTTTATTTTTCCGGGACTTTTCGCACTAAAAACTTAGGTTTTTGGCTATACCTTTTACATAGAGATGAAAAGTTTGTCAGCGAAACTCCTCATAAACCGCTGCACAGAATTTCGTTAAACTTTGCAGATATTTAGGACACATTATGTAGATGTGCATATTACCAGGAAATTCCGATTCCTTTATTTTTTGGCCATAAAAACCTTTTATATAGAGATGAACAGTTTGTCAGCGCAACTCCTCATAAACCACTGCAAAGAATTTCGTTAAACTTTGCAGATATTTTGGACACAATATGTAGATGTGCATATTACCAGGAAATTCCGATTCCTTTATTTTTCCGGGAATTTCCACACTTTCCAACTTAGACTTTTTGGCCATATTTTGAATATACAGATGAACAGTTTGTCAGCACCACTCCTCTTAAACTGTTGTACATAATTTCCATTATTTTATCCCAAAGAGTTTTGCCTATTATTCAAGAAAATTTCTCACCCCCCCCCCCCCCAACCCCCAACCACTTCAAATTAATGTTTGGATTTGTATAATGCCAAGAAATTTTGATTCCATTATTCATCTAGAAACTTCATTCCACATTTAAATGTCCTCATATGCAAGACATTTTGATGTGAAGATTTTTTTGCAATTATTGCCCTTTTTCATCTATACTATGTATTTAAAGTGCACTAGCTGTGCCTTTCATTATGTGTTTCACCGTCAAGTTTTGGGGGAGCGTGGGGTATGTGAGCTAGCTCACTTTTTCTTTCATTCATTAATGACAAATGAATGGTACTAAACAGTTTCAGTTTTTCAGACATTCACAGGGTCAAAAGGTCATAAGTGAACCTTGTTCTTTGCAAGGATGATGCATCTTTGAATGCATACTACCAGACTTGCTTCAGATGCTTGATCTGACCTACATTTTCCAGATGAGTGAACAGGCTAAAGTTGTTGGTGCAGGTCTCATTTCCAAGTAACTATGAACCTTATATCCAAACTTGTATGGATGATACCTCAACGGATACATACCTCAGTGAAACCTGTCTAATCTGACATGCACTGGGAGACCAATTTTGTTTCGGAATAGAAAGTGTGCCATATTGCAGAGTTAAAAGTAACATAGAAGTAAGTAAAATGGGAAAGAATTTTTAGGTTCAAATTTACAGTGTGATGAATTACACAGGTGTCAGACAGTTTTCACTGTATTAGACTTCCTTTGGATCTGGATCTGACCTACATTTTCTGGATGAGTGAACAGGTTACAAAATTAACAGTAATAAAGAAAGATTAACATCACAGCAATGTTTTAAGGTATCATTTGAATTAATTTTTTTTTAATTACAACTCACTGATATTACCATGACAGGGTATTACCCAGGCTACTACTCCAAGAATGATGCAGGGAATCTTACTGAAAATGTCCTGTCTGAGATGGATCTGGTGAAATTAACAAAAGTGGTTGGACCCAAAGAATTGGAGTTAGTCGCTAAGTATCTTGGTTTGACACAGATACAAATTGACACATTAGAAATGGAAAACACTTCAAGATCTATTCATACTCTGATCCACAAAATTTTTCTTGCTTGGAAGAGGAAAGCAAAGCAAAGAGCAACTATGGAAGAACTGGAAAAGGCTTTTCAGAATGCTGAAAGAGAGGCAGATGCAAAAATAGATTGGAACAATTTCCAGAAGGTCAAATCTGATATTCTGAGGAAAAGAAACTCTTTTTGAAGGATATGTGGCCTTGAAATATTAAAGGCATTAAGTCATACTCTATTTCATAATTTTCTACTTTCTCAGAGTGTCAAAATTTCTAAGATGTTAATTTTTTATACTAAGCTGGTATTGATTATTTTTTTTAAAAAGGACAAGATAGGCTTAGCCCCCTTGGCCCTTGGTTGGGGTTTCTTTTAATATGATGTAACAGTTATAAAAAAAACACCCTGTTGTCACCCCTGCCACAATTGTGTTATGATTTTTACATCAAATAATATAGGCCAAGATTGAGCCAATACTATACCTTGCCCTTTGAAAGATTTTTTGAAGTGTATATTTTTTTAAATTGATAAAAATGTAAATCTAGAATGTTGTTTTAAAGTTTGAGAAAACCTTGTGTTTTTTAATCTACTTTAGGGTTTAAAGTATATTTTAAATGTATTGTATACTATGTATTTGTGAACTGGCAGCTTATGGAGAGGTTTAAAATTTCTCAAGTGCAAATTAAACTCCAAACCAGGCTTCAAGCTCAAAATGGTTCGTACCCAATGGAAGGTCTGTTCAAAAAGAATACACCTGTAATAAATGAAAGCCCTTGTATTATCAGTTCAAAGGTTATTGTCCAGGATAAAGTTGGTGAAACTAGGAGATCAAGGTCAAAATGTCCATTTTTCAATACCCAATGAAAGGTTTTGTCACATTGAATACACATGTGAAGAATGAAAGCCCTAGCACCTACCATTCTAAAGATATGGCTATAGTTAAAGTTCTGATATTTTTGGTAAAAGTGGGTCAAACCACAAATTTGGTTGTATCCAAAAAAGGGCTTGTCACAAGGATACATCTGTGAAATATGAAAGCCATAGCCCAACCCACTCTAAAGTTATGAACAAGGTTAAATTTTTTGCAGACATACAAACAGACAGAGTGGCAGGGCAAATACTACTTGCCCAGCCAAGGTTTAACATATATCAATATAAATATCACCTTATGGGGAAATGTAAATTTGTTCATGACATCCTCCCCCATTGGTGTAGTTAGGGCAATCAAGGTTTTTAAAAGAAATACATACATGGGAAACTTTTAAAAGAATTTTCCAGGAACAGCAAAGTCATGATTTTTAGTATTCATAAATAGTCTTCAGATGGTGAAAATTTAAGATTGACTACAATGTTTGATCAAATGTTACTTGGAAATATAAAAGACAAAGAATCTGCTAATGAACAAAAAGGGCTATAGGTACAGAGATGAGGATTGTGGCCTATAGGCCTCTTGTTTTAAAGATTTTTAATGTTAAGATGTTTTCATGCCCCCGTATACATGTACTACGTTTCTGGGATATATAGTTTTTGTCTTGTTTGTCCGTCTGTCTGTCTAGTTACTGTAAACCAACTTTTATTTGCGTGCGAGAAATATCAGCAAGTTTCACGACCTCCTTTCACTCACAAATATTTATAGCCACTAACCAATTATTTTGCTTAGCATTTGTAAAGAATGTTCTTTCAGTCGTGGAAATTAAGTGTTGGGGAATAGTTTGAAACTGACAAATCGTGAATAAAAGAAGATGCGAATAATAGTTGGTTCACAGTATCTATCTGTCCGCAAAAACTTTAACATTGCCCATAACTTTTGATTTGGTGGAGCTATGACTTTCATATTTCACATGTGTATTCCTTGTGACAAGATTTTTCTTTGGGTACCACCAAATTTGACTTTTTGATCTTGACCTTGGAGATTGAACCACTTATAACACTAAAATTCCAAACTGTTACTTTGGCAATATCTTTCGAACAGTAGATACCAGGACATTTATACTTCACATATGTATTCTTTGTGGAAAGATCTTTCATTGAATACCAACAACTTTGACCTTGGAGATTTCCATACTTCTGAAAAAACTTTAACCTTTGCAATAACTTTTGAATGGTAAAGGAAAGGGCTTTCATACTTAACATATGTAATCCTTGTGAGTAGACCTTTCATTGGAAACCAAGAAATTTGACCTTGACCTTGGAATTTGACCTACTTTTAAAAAGCAAACCTTGATCATAACTTTTATAGAGTTTTGCTAATGCTTTTTTATTTACATATTTAATCCTTTTGACAAGACCTTTCATTTGATAGCATGACCTTTGACCCTTTGACCTTGGGGTTTTACCTACTTTTTAAAATTTTTAACCTTGTCCATGCATTTTTTGAAGGGCTGGGCTTCCATACCTCACATATGTATTTTTTATGGCAAGAACTTTTATTGGATACCAATTACCTTGATCTTTTGACCATGGAGATTTCTGAACTTATGAAAAAACTTAAACCTTGGCCTCTTTCACATTTGACAATTTTATTTCCAGTGAGAATACCCTACTTTTGGTCCCAAAAATATTAAATTTACATTTAAGAAATGTTTAATTGGGGCCCCCCAAAATTTTGGGGTGCCCTATAAAATCAGTCTTTCTGTCTGTCTGTCTGTTTGTCATTCTTCTCTCCACAAATTTTCTGTTTTTCCTAATAAATTTTATTATGGTTGACCAATTAAGTTCAAATTTGGTATTTTGGGTTTTAATAGGCAGTAAGCATTTTTGATGCAAAGTTTTTTTTTATGTCCTCTGGTTTGGAGCTGGGGTGGTGGGGTAGATTCTTTAACTTAATAAAGAATAATTGGCAAAGAGAGATAACTGCTGAAAATGTTCCCATTGAAAACCCATGAAACTGCAATGAGTCCCTTGGGATTAATTAGCCTTTTTTAAAAAAAATCCAAAGCATTATCTTTATAGATGTCACATTGAGATAAATTCAACATCTTTCAAATGAAGTTTGTTTTAAGTCAAGTCTATTTTGAATGCTATAACACACTGAAATGTGGATTTAAAAAAAATGTAAATATATGTTTATACTTTATTTTATGTTAAAATACCCTAGTACATATTAAGTTATAATTTCATTGAATTCAAAAAAAAAAAAAATAGATTAAATAGTTGGACACAGATTTGAAGTAATATTTTTTCTTAAAATTTCGACATTTTTTTAATAGCATTTCACACAAAAATTTTAAAAAAATTTTTTTTATTTTCAAGTTATTAAAACTTGAAATTTTTTGGCGGGTTTGATTGACACATCCTTGCACTTTCACAAATTTTAACCTTGTTCTTAATCCTTAGGAAAAGTGGCAATCTTGTGGTGTATTAATGAGAAATATTAAAACTTTATCCAGAAAAATAGTTTTATTCCGATAAAATGTTAGAAAGCAAAACTCCCTCACAAGTATCGTCATTCCGAACTAAGGGTTGCTTACAGAGTTTAGCAAATCGAGCACACTCGTGTTATGTATACAGTTTTTGTAAACAGTTCTGTTATTGTTTATATTTAGAATTCACCGGGTGCGTTCAATCGTCACAGTCTGCTTACCACAACTGCACGGACTGACAATATATTGTGTGTTTGTTTTTCTTTCGAATATTTTCTGGATTATAGTATTAATAATATTTTTCATTTATACACAACAATATTGCCACATTTCCTAAGTATTAAGAATAGAATAAATTTTGAAAATGGGTTGTAATCAAACCCGCCAAAAAATTTCAAGTTTTAATGTTTTTTATGAAATAAGATTTTAATCAATTTTTGTGTGAAATGCTATTAAAATATATAAGTTGTAATATTATAGAGAAAATAATAACTTCAAATCTGTGTCCAAGTACCTTTATTAAGAAGATATATTTTTTTTAATTTTTACTAATTTTTTTTTT